TAGTTTACATCTCATGATCCTCTCTGGTATTCAGAGAAAAAAATTATGTCAGCTGTTGATGGAATGGAAGCCAGATGCGGGCCTATTCTTCTTTGCTATTCATATTGGACATATTACCTACTTGGCAGACGACGATGTACTGAGACTGCTGTTATTAAGACACTGCGTATTTAACAATGGTGCTATCGGATATGTTTTATATTTATCGAAGAAAGAGTGCAATTTAAATGATTAGCATGATTTTAGCCAACATCTTAGCAGGACCATAATGTTACTTCGTGGTCTGAGCGATATCTTGACGTCGAGAATGTCGTATTACTAAAAAAATTTGATCCATTTATTTCAGCATGTACTGTGAGAGCAATATATATTCCATCTAAGGATGCGTAAAGGGGGGTGGGGTGGCAGGAAAGTGACTACCTTCTTGACGGACCAAGATAAACATGTCTTAACATGTTGCATATCAATAAAAGGCTTAATTATTATCTCCGCCAAGGAGGTTATGTTTTCACCCCTGTTTGTCTGTCTGTTTGTCTGTCATCAACATAACTCAAAAAGTTATGGACCGATTTTGATGAAATTTTCAGGAACTGTCAGAAGGCATCATTAATCAATCAATAATCAATAATCAAAAATATCGAAAATTTAGGGGTGAAACGGCATTGGATGGAGACTTTGCTGCCTTGGCGGAGGTCTGCGCTCTCTGAGTGCTTTTCTAGTTTCAATAGCTTTTCATTGCATGTCCTTATTTCATTACGTAACGGTTACATAAGGAGATACATCATTTTTGTAGATGCTCAAGGGGACTATCAGACATAATGTTGTCTGCACAAGTGCATTTGTAGTGGAGTTCACGTCAGAGATTTAGAGATGTACGGGAAAGGCGAACACTGAAAACTCTTCGTCCCAATAAATCTCCCTGCGGGGTGTGACAAGTGATGGATCAAAGTAATGGATTCACACAGAAAATATATCTGCCTACTCCCCATTACAATGCTACCCTCTGATATCAGGGCTCCTTAAATAGTTTACAAAATTACACTGTGCGCCATGCAACATTTTTTTTTGTAACAGACCAGTAGCGCACCCTGTGGGCAGAGATTATCACAGTATCAGGGACACCGAGGGTATTGTTTCACTGGCAGATATCCATATTTCTCTTTCTATTAACTACCCCGGTAGCTGTGCACACTTCTGTTATCTTTCTTTTTTCCTTTTTTTCTAATTTTTGCTCCATTTTCCCTTTATCGCACGGCCTGCCTCTGGGAGTAATTTTCGCCCTGTTCGAGGCAATGATTGCTGACTTTTCCATAATGTGTTACAAACGATATGTATAGAGTCTGCTGATTAGTAATGGGTTCTTTATGTTATTATTCGTAACTTGATATTGCCTATGTTAGGTTACTGGGTTCGACTGAATAAATTTTGTGAATAGAAGAAGTACATGTAGAATGATAAAACAATTTTATATAATTTTCTCATAATTTTCACCTGAAATTTTTTGTGACATTTTCGGAATGTTGGTCTTGATCAAGAAGTCACAGTGAAGTTAGTCACTAGCAGAAGACACACTAATATCATAAGCTTTGCCTATGTACAGAGATCCTCTGGGACATCGATTTGTGAGTTGCGTAATTTTATTACACTATATGTCTCTATCTCTCTCCTATCGTTTCATCTCCTTCTTCCTGGCACCCACTTGTTTACCTACCGTTGACCTTAATGTACTGCGCAGGCTGGAATCGGGAGTACATCAGTAAAGGGTTGTGGTCAAATCCTGTTGACCTACATTTGACATACATGTACTGTGCAGACTGGAACCGGGTGTACACCAGGTAGGTTTACGAAAGGCAAAGGCACGGGGAAACCGGTGTGTGTTCAACCGCTTTTTTATGTACATGTAGCACCTTTTTATAGATGTCTTAAACAGGTGTTTAACGGGGAAGAATGTTAAGGAGGATCATATCAAAGCATACTTGACCTAGAAATTAACAACATTGATAAGATACTTTATACTATAGTGTCAAGGTTGATTGTGCTTGACTTGCAAATGGGGTCTGGTTTAATAGCTAATATTGAACACTTTGCAATATCTTTGCCAATTACATTCTTGGTATTTAATTGTAATCTATGCATTAATTAGAAGCGTCTAATTAATTGTCTATACTTAAACACAAAAGCGGATCGAGGAAGAGGAGGCCGGGCTGAGGGCGGTGACGCAGGGACACAGGGGCTCGTATATTTCGTGCCAAGCAAAGCTAGATCATAACTTGCGCCGGGGCCTATCCCTTGACCACGTTTAGTAAATGTCATCCGGGGAAGTCAATATGCGGAACAGTAGGCCGCGGAATGTTGTATTCCTCATTATTTATGCGGTTGATGCCCATTAAAAGTGCATGAACCCTAGGAAGAAATAACGGTTTTATATTGGCTGGAGTTGCTTGTATCAAGAACTGTACATTAACAGCATTGGAAACAATGTACATGCTATGCGTAGCAAGATTCATCCTTATGTTATCTGGAACTGCTAGTACTTGTCATAACGCGTGAATACTGGCACGTTTTTAGGATACTAGTGGACCTGATTTATCATTGATAAACGAGGCGTAGAAGTATTAGTCTACTACGATCGCTTAATATTTTGGACTGCGTTTCGTGAGTATGGGCTAAGATCTGGGTTTAACATCGCCCGTAATACTAATACAACGGGGCTTACGGCTAGTTTATAATGTATAATCAATGGGAATTGACTTTATATCTACTGGATGTGTGAATGTAAATTTAAATAAGTACTAGCTATATCTTTAAATTGTAAATATATTTGCTTGATATTAATTAGAGACTCTGTATCCATTCCCTGTCGTTCGTTTAGATTTCTCGCATCTTTTAATTATGTAAGAATTCTAGCTATTTGGCGGAGGAAATGAATTATGTAACTGTTGGTTCGGGTCGTCAAAGTTTGAACTTGCTGCCTGAACTTTTGGCCCTTTCACTGCTATGGTACCTTTTCTTTCACAAAATTTTCAACTAATTAAACCTGACTGCTGGGTCACTTCCCACGGGCAGCCTCGCTTCCGTTTCATTGAACGCATAATGTTCACTTAAGCTGAAGTCAGAGTTTCCTTTACACAGTGGTAGGCAGAGTGACCGCTCCAATTTTTGAACTGATTTAGTCTCAAAGGTAAGTGGAGTCTCTTCAAGTAATGGAATATCTACATTGGCTAAGGAATTGATTTTCTACGGAAATTGGACTACTAGCTAGCGATGTATGAAAAATGTATGGAAAATCTACCCCCTCCCGCCAAAAAATTACAAAAAATAAAATTAAAAATTAAAAATAACGAAGAGATAGATTTTTATGGACAGACACAGATGTGTCTGTACATTTAGACGTCGCCTGCATCTGTCGTTGACGTTGTCGCCGTGCACTTTCAGTATTATAACGAAAAGTGGAAAACCGTTTGACCTTTTGTTTTCAAACTCATAGATTGGACAAGAAAAGGTATTACATAAGCATTCTGCCAACTGCTCTTTGGAGCCAAACATAATGCGCTTTCTTAGATTAGAAATGAAATGAAACGAAGAGTCTAATTTTTTACTCCTGAAATTCATATATACTGGAAGCGGTTGGGCCATTATGATAGAAGAGAAGAGTTTTTAGTTCGTATGTCTTCTTAACTCTTTGTATATAGTGTTGTTTAGGTTGAATATTGAACGCAAGAGCCACTTAGAGCTGGTAATGCAAATTGTAAACTTTCATAATTCAATTGCACGTGACAAAATAGTTAAGACACATATTTGCATCAAGCCAAATTTCAACCCATTATATGTAGAGTATCAGGGGATATAAAGTGTTTAAATACAATGGAGATTGTTATGGAGCGGGAATGAGATGGGCAAGGGAGGGGGGTTAGGAACGCTGTCTACTTTTCCATCTACAGTACATGGAATGGTCAATAAACCCTTCTGGGTTTTCTTCTATTATTTATGTAATTCAAAAGTTAATTTAATTTGTATGCGAGAATTGAGGTCTCAAGCAGCTGGTAAAATGTACGCAATAGCCAATGTTGTTCAGTAGTCAAATGCTCAATGTGAACAGGTACAAATTGCATCGCTCAAGTATACCTTTCGATATGAGCAGGCGTTATTTTGAAACGGTCTTTAACTCTTTGCGTTCTGCATGTCAGGGGAAATGTTTTATCGATAGGTTAACATCGTCAACATTTTCAGCAGGCGTTTTTATTCTTGTTATCTGTGAACCTAACGTGTGTTCCCACGCATACCCAGTAGTTCAAAGGTGAGAGCGTCCGAACCTGCCCCACACATACATGTATTTATAGGGCTAGGAAATAGCACTGGTGACTAGCTGCATAGAGTGTAGGCTTGATGAAAGTTTTATGCTCTGTGCAAACACACATTTCGAGATTTCATGGTTCCTGTCAAATTTACGTAAAGTCGCTCAAAGAAGACCCAAGGACACGTAACGACTAGTTTAAAGGTTTTTTGACGCTAACATGATCTACGTGCAGTCTCCAACTTCGGAACCCTCTCCTGTAACTCGCTTCCTTCTTCTTAGCACTCCCAAGCGCTACCACAAATATTACTTCTGAACGTCTTATATCCAAATTCCTTATCTAAGGTGGGTTCAATGCTGCACTAATGCGCGGTGCATACGTACACAGCCAAGCGACTCCATTAAAAATAATTTACAAGTCTGGGGTTATTTATGCGAACTGAACAACAGATATACCCAACACCGTGGTTTCTAACGCACTTGACGTAACACAACCAACTCTTTTGACATTCTCCACACCCGAATACGTGTAATTACTCCATGTATTTGATGAAAGAACCACCTCCAGTTGTACCCAAGTAATTGTGTAATACGTATAATCCCGAGTCTTAACGCAATCAATGAACATGCACATGTCCTATTCAATGATTCTGTCTTATATATGTAGGTTTGGTATTTGTAAAAATGGATTCCAACTCACCTCCCATTGAACTGAGTGAAAGGAAGCCGAAAGATACGGATGAAGGTCCAAACATTGCCACCCCCGACCACGTAGGTGCCAAGACGGGCCAAAAAGAGGTTCCCGACGAAAAGGTATCGTGCTGATCATGAATACCAAATATGATGTGTGTCACTGCTAATAAACTCACTGTATCTACCAGCGCCGTCTCATATAATTCTAGGAGTGTTAATTATCTCATTGGCGACACAACGTGCAAGTAGCGTGCTACATGTATCAATCTTTAGTTGGTTAAATGAGTTAAGCCTGTACCCTTATGAATCTGTCTAAAATGGGTCCCAAAAACAAATGTGTTCGTTGAACAAGGTGTGGTTCCATGTCGGCAGGGATTTTATCAAAGACGGGAAACGAATTGTACATGTATAGTTGTTCTGGACTTAAAAATATGTCTGTTGCAGGGAACACATTTTAGATTATCGATTGTTAGATACATCAGTCAAATAAGTTCTGAGAGGTATACGGTACCTGCACGACTAACAGTTTATTAAAACATGCGCCGAGTTCCAAATTGAATGGTTACGTGGGCCAAATATACAAATAAGTCCATTATGGGCAGAAAAAGCTTATTACACTTTTCCTGCATGCGTTTGCCTTGTGATTGGTATTTTTCTTCTCAAATGCGTTCTAGATTTCCCAAGTGGTTCCGCATGATGTTCTCTTACGACTTCAAAGTCAGCAACAGGAAGAAATTGAGGAAGTGGAAGAGGAATTATTTGAAGACCTAGACGAGGATGAACCCGACTGCTTCCATAGGAATGCCGCAAAGATCCAGAAAAGTAAGAATTACCCCCAAAACCTTTGTTGTCTTTTTGAATTAAGATAAGTAAGACTAACAATTTGGAAGGAAGAGAGTTAAGAATAATCATCGAAAATGTTTATTTTACGCCAAAAGACTGGGGTACCCGTAAATAGCTACGGAAAGTAACGCACTTGACAATTTTGAAATTGCGCGTACGTCTTTGTCTAAAGACCTCATACCTTTTTGTCTTATTTAAACTCTCTTTTAGCCCTGTCCGCATTTTACCAAGATCACAAGAATATTTTCCTGTGGTCGTTTTACGCCGTTCTGATCCTTGGTTACATCGTTTACTTCATCTACGCCATGTGGTACAGCTTTGGCGATGAAGGCTCTATCCGATTGGTGGTTTTGACCGTATTCTTGGTATTGATGGCTTTGGCGGCCATTTTGAAACCAAGGTTGAAGAACTGCGTATTGCCGTCTGTTAAAAGATTCGACAAATCCAAGTTGAAATACGTGAGATGGTGAGGGTACAACATACAAGGGTATTCTTTTATTTGTTCTCTTTTAATAAAGTTAAAACACGTCATTAAGGGTTAAAAGAGAACATTACTCATTGCTAGATTATATGGGTGAGTTGTACAACATTTTGTATTTTAGGTTTGGTACTTACTCATTTTAATATGCACTTGTATGGGTGTGTTCTTAATAGCGTTGTGTGTAGCATATATTATATTATATTATATTATATTATATTATATTATATTATATTATATTATATTATATTATATAACTTCTCGTAATATCCTCATTACATTTTCAGGGCATTCTACATCATTGCCACACTAGTTATAGCATCTATAATTATAGCAGAAGTGGCAGTGAAGAAACCGGCAAACCTCATGTCAGGAGTAGGCATCATAGTATATGTGGCAGTGTTCTTCATATTTTCTCATAACCCGGCTAAGGTAAGACCACCCAAGGAGTTCCAACGAACTCCTTGGACCACCTAGTGATATTGCATGTGTTTCATACTGAAGCTTAATTCTTGAAATTCCTATTAGCATTTATTGTCTCCACATTAAGCGTTGAGTTACCTTACGTCATGGCGTGCGGATATTAAGATTTTCAGATATTGGTTGCGCATTCGCAAATGTTAATTGCGGGTGTCAGCGAAGGCTTACTATCCACGGTAGACCTTAATGTCGAAAAATAATGTATGGAAATCACTTTTCAAATGTATCCTATCAACGGCCGTATGGCAAACCATGATCTGTAAACCCGCTTTCGAGATATAAATGTCCATTTTTACCAACCCAGGTGACAGCCGCCACTCAATAAATAAATAGATAAATAAATAAAAAAATATGAAAAAATGACTTATATAAAATTGAACTTAAAGACTGACTAAAGAAACCAATCTAATTGTACTTCCCTCCCGTATCACATTTATTGCTTAGAATATCAGCTAGAGAACCATGTTAAGAAATGTGCTTTTCCTAAACAGACAAACTTAAATCAGATGATAAAGTAAATAATAAGGGGTGTAATAAGTTCATTTATTTAAAAATGAGACCTAATTTTAGGCATTTAGGCATTTAGACCAATTTCTCGATTTCCTTTCCACATTATTTCTTTAACAGATTGGGAAAATCAAATCACTGGGTAATTACTAAATAAACAATATTGACGAAGGTTTTAGGCTTTTATAATTGGTGTTCATTTTTTATATCATATCGTTGCGTATATCAGATGGAGGTTTTTATTACGCCGAGTGACATTCCAGGTAAAATGGCGACCTGTCTTCATGGGTCTTCTCCTTCAGTTCATCTTTGCTCTGATTATTCTTCGCACTGAGTCCGGGTTCCATTCCTTCATGTGGCTGGGGGACAGGGTGTCAGAGTTCTTGGACCACACCAACTTTGGCGCTGAATTTGTCCTGGGTGATGCCACGCACCACTTCTTTGCATTTAAGGTGGGTTCCTTGGATTAATTAGCTGTATCAATTGGGTATTGCATTTTGTATTTACCGAATAATAAACAGTGTCACTGCATGCAAATACATTGTACTTTGCTCTTAATGGGTCAATGCTAGATTGTATTTTGTGTCCTTGTAATGGTAATTGATCATGGTGATGATGATTATAAGGAAATCTTGTTTTTGCTTTCCCACACCGAAGGAGTTCACACGAAAAAGGCAAGAAGTGGATATGGATGCATTTGCTTGACGTAATGTTACTAATTGCATCAATGATACACGTGCTTGCACTTATCCTGTGGGGGTCGAGTCGTTGTTTTCACAGCAGGCAATTATTTTGTTGCTCTCCTTAGCATGCAAATAATTTTTTTCAGCTAATTGTACACAGTTTCTCCACATATTTTTTTCAGATTCTCCCTATAGTTATATTCTTCAGCACGTGCATTTCCATATTGTACTACTGGGGCGCCATGCAGTGGATAATATTCCGGGTTGCCTGGGTGATGCAGGTCGCCATGGGAACTACTGCAGCAGAATCCGTCAATGCCGCAGCAAATATTTTCATCGGCCAGGTTGGTTGAATACGTGAGCTATGGTCTGAGCAAAGCACATCGACTCAGAAAGATTTCTGTGCATCGGTGTGAAAAATAGTCTTTTTTGAATATTGAATTCTTTATCTTTCAATTCGAAACTGGTATACAATTTGGCGTACACGGCTCCAAAAATAGCCTTCTATCGTCAGCTTGGGTAATACATATACTAAAGTACTAGTATCTCATTAAATGCAACTGAGATGTGCAAATCGGCTAAATCTGTACCTCACATGAGTTTGAACACATACCAGACGTATCTGTCATATTTAGTCTGTCGAAACTATTTTTACTTTCTATCATTTATTTTTTAAATATTTTGTTTTTAATTTAGAGTGAAGCACCCCTCATGATCCGCCCTTTGCTACCGAAGATGACGAATTCCGAGCTCCACGCCGTCATGACAGGTGGATTTGCCACCATTGCTGGCACCGTGCTGGGAGCTTTCATTGGATTTGGGGTAAGGTTCGATTCTCTTTGAAACCGCAATATGTATTTTACCTGTTACAGGGGCGGATTTAGGCCGTCTTCTGGGTCTTCCAGGAGACGGTCAGATTTTCAGGTATACATTGACGGGTATCTATTTTTTTCTGTTGGAAGGCGGTCAAAATTGTAGGATGGATCAATAAAGATAATTTGGAAGACTGTCAGAAAATAGCTCTAGATCCGCCCCTGCTGTACATATAAAAATTACAACAAATGTTTTATTCTATGTTGAAAAGAAAAGACTCAAATATGCCACGAGAAAATGATGTTTGGGTACCCCTTAGCTACACGATGTTAGAAATACAGTATTGTATTTGTTCTTTTTGCTAAGGTAGCGTAAATCGCGCTGGTGAATTTCAGTGGATATAAGTAGTTCATTAGTTCACAAAAAGACTATTTTTAATACTTAACAAAATTTTATAGAAGTGATATATTTATCAAATATTCTATGTGTATTGCCCTGTCCCTGTCGCTCGCGGCAAAATCGCTTTTAAAGAAACAAGACTAAAGAACAGTTGTTAACGGAATAAATTTTATTATACAATAGTTAATAATTAATATAGGTCCCTGCCAATCATCTCCTATCGGCGTCTGTGATCTCAGCTCCTGCCGCTCTGGCCATGGCGAAACTTTTCTATCCCGAGACCAAGAAATCTAAAACGACCGTGCAAGACATTGAAAACATGGAAAAGGGGTAATATTAAGTTATTTCTGAAAATATTTTGTTATGAAATAATTTAAACACATTTTAAAAATAGAAAAGTGAAAAAAAGATATAGATGAATTTATACATAGGCAAAGTGCATCACTATTGCAAGTAGATAAATGTGTGAAAGTACAGAAACTTACAAGCTTGGAAATATATGTATATGCATCTGTAAGTCAGATGAAAACATCTTTCCTGTCTCACTTCTACCAAACTTTTTGCCACCAAGTCTATGATGGAGTATGCATTAATGAAAGTCCATTCGCAGGATAACGTGCAACGAAACGCTAAGTCTNAGGCTTGGATATTGTTTGAATGCAATCACTTGATGTCCTGATATTTTTAAACCCCCTTTCTTTCCTTTTTCTTTGCCATGTTTTACAATTTGCGTAAAAACTAGAAAAAGAACCATGAAACAAACAAAACATCATTAATTAACTGTTACAATCAAACACTGACTTAATGATTAATTTTTTCTGTCTTGTTTTCTGTATTTTATCTTACTTTTAACATGCAATATAGGATGTACTAGTATGTGTATATTACTTTCAGGACTATTCTATGTTGAAATAGACCATTCAGGACACTGAAGTAGACCAACATTGTACCAGTGCTAGCAAACTGCTGTTTCATACTCTGCCGACTGATACATGGATGCGCATTGATTGCATTACATCATAATGCCACCACATACAGTGTAGTCTGGTAAAGTAAATGCGTTCATGTTGATCGATATCAACGACGAGCACCGAGGGCGAGTATGCTGTACCCTCCGCCAAGGGTCTCTGTCGTTTCTTCCAAAACTGATTGAAATACTACTATTCAAATTTGTAACAATTACAGAAGTTTCTGTCGGAGGGTAAGCGTACCATGGTTCTGCTGTGTGACGTCGCACATGTGCAATTGGCTGACCACTCCATAGGAAAGAGGAAAAGAAAGTAACAGAAGCAGGAATGGGAAATACATGTGCCATGAGTTACGCGTTTTAACGAACAGAGAGAACCTCGGGATATTTCTCATTTATCATGTTATTTCTCGTATATTTAGATATTTTTCGTATATTTAGATTTCATTTATTTTAGTCAATTGTATGTTAACGTGTGTTTGTGTGTGTGTGTGTCAGAGAGAGAGAGAGAGAGAGAGAGAGGTACATGTACAATGTATTACTTATGGTAGGTTTTTCTACAGTGCTAGAAACAAAGATGCTTTAACTCATATTATGCATACTTTTACATGTACATGTATCTACATAAGAAGACAAGATCTTTTATATATGATTTTTTTTGTAGCAGAAAATTAACATGATTGTGCATAGAGACCGTGCAAGAAAGATAGATTGCTGACACATTTTTTTTATAAAGTTTTATATAGCAGGTAGTGTATTTCGTGAATAAAAGTATCAATAATCGAAGTCTTATTTTCATTTTTTCCTGTAACCCGCATAGATAATACATTTTAGATGTGTTGATTATGCAGACGAAGTCGTAGACATCAGATTGTCAAAAACGTTGAGAGCTTTGCATTGCATTCTTGTAATTCAAATGAAATAGAATTAAATTTTAAAAAGTGGTGAAATTTACAAAACGCAATCAACTTGATCTCACCAGGACCAAGACTGTCTCACCTAACGCAATAATTCGGGGCACTGAAAAACTGATTGATTCCACACCAATGAGATCATGCACTCGGCGCCATAGTATCGTGGGAATAAAATACGAGAACATTTAATTAAGTTCATTCCCTGGAATAATTGGGTTATGAACTGTAAATTGTGTAAACTATATTTTCTATATGCAAGGGAGTGGGCGGTCGAAAGGGGTATTCGGTTACTGATAAATATGCGCATTTAGTAACTTTGCCTTTTGATTGGCATGGTGATGAATATGCTTCAGGTATCCGTTTAACAGTGAAATTCTAACTTTTCAGTTATGGTATGCAAAATGCACGAATTAGTTACTTACCATGCCAATTCTGCCGACATATGAACTTAGGAAATGCAAACCGTGCTATTTGATAGGCGGCATTGAGAACTAACGACGCACGACCCAAAACAAATTGACGCAATTGCATGCTAATAATCACCAAAGGGCCCCAGTTTAGTAAATTCTACGGTCTAATTGGATTAATATTATGGTTTGTTCATTGTGGACATTTTATGTTGGCTCTATGCAATATATGATAGGTTTGTGATAGATCTCGAGAGATGCCTTTGGTTTTGAAGCCATGTCACTGAAGAGGCTCATTTTTTAACTCAGTCACTGGTGTTATGTTTCCATCGGCGTCCTTTTGCCTATTGATTAGTGGAAAAGATATCTTTAAAAATCCTCACAAATGTTGATGAAGTTTTCAGAGTTGACAGAAATTACAGAGGGTCAATTACAATTTCAACTGCATTAGGATCTTTTCTAAAATAATTTTTATAATTGTCTCTTTACTTGGCGGAGGGCTTCACACTTGGATTGCTGTATCTAATGCGTTTTGGGGATTATTAAATGCAAAGATAAGCATTTTCCTCTCGAAAAAAAGTAGTTCGGGGAACTGCTAGTGATACGTGCTATTCAACCTATTAAGGTTAAAACACGAAAACTCTCAATTTTAGTCAAGTAAATAGGCACCCGCGTGGCCTTAATTTGGTTTATTCTCTGGGTTTATTGGATTACGCCTTGTAAACTGTGAAAAGCGTATGGAACAGACATGAAGAATGGGAATCAATATGAAGAGCTCAAAAGTATGGTGGTGTAAATTTGTCAATACTCATTGACTTTTCTCGGCTGAACAAGCTGGTGATTGCCGGATTCTGGGAATAAAGAAAAAAAGGGGGGTTGGTAGGATTGGGTAGGTGTAGGGGGAGGAGCAATGCTTTTGGGGCTTCGCACTCCTCGCTCCAGCTTTAAATTATTTTAATGGGGTGCATTAATGATACAGTTTGGAGGATATTGCAGCACTCAGGTTTGTACCTAAATCAATCTCAAATCTGCATTTTCTTCTTGTTTTGGGAAATGGCAAATCAATATTTTCTCCTGAGGAGGGAGAAAATACAAAGAATATCTCAACCCCCCTCCATACCCCCTTGCTGACCCCGCCACATATTATTGCTTGAAATCAAAATGGTACAATTAAGAGAAATTTACTAGCACTTCAAAAGGCCTTAAATCAGTACTTTCCTCTGTTTTGTAAAAGGATAAAGAAGGAATACGCTTTTCTGTTTATTTTGTTAAAAGGGTGGTGGTGGTGTGTTGGGGTGTCTTGTGTCCGCTTGCGTCGATTCCCATAAACTCTCTGGATATGAACAAGCTGATACAAGTGTAATATAATTACAATCGGGTCATTTCACAAAAGTGACGATCGCGTTTTGTGTAATATGTGCATCATTTTGACTTGCCCCATTGTTATTGCTGTTTTATGCTACTGGTAAATAGCCTCCAATGTTGAAAGAAATCAAGTCATATCTCAAACATTGATATCAAAAAAATGTTAAGCAAAATTTGAACGACACTGACGTGACTCAAGAGCCACTTCTTTAGGAAATTGACCCTATAGTACAAAGCTCGTTCCGTTTTTGTCACCAAAAACTTAACACATAGCTTTTATAGCATTGTTTTCTACGTGTACATGTACCTATTGTGCTTTATTCGAGAACTTCAGTATATTGTTCAAGTAACTTTTAAGTACACACATGTTTGTGCATGTATTATCGACAACTGATTTTATTTTATTATTTTATTTTGAGCTGCTTAAAAAAGACAATAGCAAAAGCGGCGTTCATTTTTTTACATTTAAGACAAAAATTAATTAAATAAATAAAAAAATAAAGAATACGAACTATCCATTTTGCAAATAATTTTAGAAATACCTCGGTATATCTGTAATATGCTCCCTTTCTAAAAATTGTTTTCCTAAAATTTATAGTGTTACACAGATGTACTGTAAAGTCATTTAATTCGCTTATTCCAATTATTATATTTCTGGACTAAATGCCAATGGATAATCTAGCTCGATTTCGACCTTACTGACCTTTAGTGTGTACAAGGAAATGTCTTATTCGAAAATAGGCTTTTTTTTTAAGGACAGATCGGTAAACACATTTCCGTTAGACATACATATACCGGTATTGATAAAATCGGATGCATGAAAGATTCCCAATGAAAATATATTAGTTGGGTAACGTTATTTTAAGATATAACGTATTTTATTTTACGCCGTTGTGAATAAAACTTCCGGGAAAAGTGTCCCTTACTTTCTCAGTAATTTACTTTCTTAGAAATAATGATGACATTCCGACCAATTTTTAACAGCTTGAGACCTACATGTAACCGCCCAATAAATCTCAATTATTCTCAATACGTTGAAATGGTTTCAAAACAGAGGATATGCTCTTATAAATTAAATTAAATGCATTTGCTGTTTGTTTATAGACTGTATACATGCATGTAGTGTTACTGTTACATTTACAAGTGCATGTATGATTTATGTCAAACATATATTGACTTTACCCTGATTGCTGTTGTACATGTACATCGGCTTACCATGAAGCTTACAAAAAACCTAAAACACATATATGAACCTGAAAAGCAAATGTCACGTCCCGAAGACATAAATACTTTTATTAACATCGACATTACTAGGAATGTCTATGAAGTGGCAGTTAAGCACAAGAGAAATACGATTAAAGGGATAATAACGCTTCGTTTCGGCCAAAAAATGAATTGTACTGGAGTAAACAACAATTTTCCCATACTTACCAATGGTTAATGAATCCATTTTTACATTCAAAGTTAGTCCCTGNTGGTATTTTTAAACCCCCTTTCTTTCCTTTTTCTTTGCCATGTTTTACAATTTGCGTAAAAACTAGAAAAAGAACCATGAAACAAACAAAACATCATTAATTAACTGTTACAATCAAACACTGACTTAATGATTAATTTTTTCTGTCTTGTTTTCTGTATTTTATCTTACTTTTTAACATGCAATATAGGATGTACTAGTATGTGT